CGCCGAATTGGATTATGTCTGCTTCATTCTTTTAACCCTAAGGCTCCATGTACCCAATAATTGGGTACTTGGGATTTGGGTAATAGTAATTATAGTACTGGTTTGTGGGATAGGTATATGATTATTAGGTACTTGGACCCTTAGGGTAAACTCTAGACAATGTTGGATTGTCTTGGTGTGTATTTGCCTTCAGTCCATCTGCACACTGTAGACAAATCCGGGCAGGCCTGTATTGCTCCTGGATGCACCCCAAGACCCGCTTGCACCCCAAGTATTCTGAACCTCAAACCCCCAAACCATAACCCCAACCCCCCAACCTCCGCCAAACCATTTCAGAATTGGGCCCTTCAATCCAACCCTACGGCTCTGGGACCCTGAGAGTGAGATCCCAAACCATAGCTGCCGCAGCCCAAAACTTCCCCAGAAAGCCCAGAATCGTCTTAAGAGCCTTAGGGCAAAATCCAAGCCCTAAACCCTCAACCCGACCTAGCACTAAACTCCCTAACCCTAAACCCTATATCCCTGACCCAAAGCCCCCTAACCCTAAACACTCGCACCGCCTGACCCTAAACCCCAGACCGCCTAAACTCGAAGCTTCCAGGAACGCAAAGTACAACCAGCTGCTACGCATAGAGGAAGAGCTCGGGGATCGTGCAGTCTATGCCTGGGCCCCTGTGTAGGGCGTGTGGTTCAGGGTTTAAAGTTTGAGTTCAGAGCGCAAGTAGGGTTTAGGATTTACAGTTTGAGGTTCAGGGTTCAGAGCTTCAGGTTTAGGGCTTTGGATTTCAGGGTCACGGTTTTGTTCCTTTCCCAAAAGCTTCTAAGTACAAGGGCTTATGCAGGAACAGAATACATGTTGCCGTCGCTTCTACACATGCTCATCATTGGCACCTTGCGTATACACGTAGAATTTTCAACAGGCCTGTAAACGATGCTGGTCGGGGTTCTCAACAACATGCAGAACCTTGAGCAGCAAGGAGCTGAACAAGTCACAGGTCACCTAACGTGGAGAGGGGTGGAACGTTTCATGGCGAAGCGCCTCGCAGGTGCACAGCTTCAAACAAGAAACTACCCAAGTCCATGACCGTGACTGCACCAACTTGTACATATTTGGTCTATGAGCTCCTGATAGTTGAGGTCACGGTTGCGGGTGCAGAGCCCTTTTTTTTGAAAGGACTCCGAGTTTGGAAGCTTTGCACGAGTTTCTGTCAAGGGGTGGACAGGGGTGTACTTCTCGTGAGAATAGTCGCAATGCTTGCGGCCTTGCTCAGTCAAAGATGAGCATGTACACCTTGAAGCCTACACTGAACATTGCGCCGTAAATCACACTATGACTTGTGACTCGTGACCCCTAACCATCTAACTTTGGATCGTGATGCCCTGAACCCAGCGCTGATGCTGGGCTCACCATTAGTCGCATTTGTTGATTGTAGTATCATTCAGGGTTGTGAAGTTCCCTTAATGCGCAGCCCAAACCCTAAACCGTTCCTTCAACCCTAAACCCTAGAACCCTAAACCGACCCTAAAACCTTAAACCCTAGAACCCTAGAACCCTAAACCGGCGCAAAAACCCTAAACCCTAAAACCCTAAACCCAAGAACACTATTCCCTAAACAGCTGAGTAGTATTTTATTTGGGGATACTATGGTACCCAATATAGAGAAAGATTATATCCTCCTTTTGGGGTATAGTATTTTATATAAGTAATATTCTCTTACTTGGTTCAACCACCAAAAAAACGCTACTCAGCTGAGGCTGGGCTCAACTTCCGCAAGCCTGTGGTGTGAGCCCGCTTGAAATCCCTGCAGCTTTTGCGCAGCCAAAAGAGCCTTGAATCAGGGTGTAGGGTTTAGGGTGGGGTTTAGGGTCTAGGGTGTAGGGTTGAGGGAGCCTTGAATCAGGGTTTAGGGTGTTTAGGGTGGGGTTTAGGGGGTTTAGGGTTTAGGGTGTAGGGTTTATCCCAACATACATCGGCAAAGGGCCCTGAGGTTCCCAAAATTAGGGGTCCCCTTTTCTTAGGGTCCTCGTAATATGGATTCTGGCCTATAAGCTTCAACCCTAAACCCTAAACGCTAAACCCTAAACCCTAAAAGAGCCTTGAAGATCTGTGGCTTTGAGCCTGGAGGGGTTGCAGGATGTTGGGGCTGTAACAGCCCAGACCCCCCAAGCACCCTAGGGTTTAGGGTTTAGGGTTTAGTATCCCCAAATAGAAGCTACAGGCCCTATTTTAGGGTACTTGGGGGGTCTAGGAGGGTGGGTTTAGGGTTTGAGGGTTTAGGGTTTAGGGGAGTTTCCGGATTATCGGGGCTCAAGGTTCAGTGCAGGGTTGTCGCTTCAATGCTTTCTTTCATGTGATAAGCTAGATAGAGTTTTTCCGGGAGAGCAGGATTTTGGAGGACCGCATGGTAGAAAAGTGCAAGGAGTCACACAAATTGCTTCGGTCATGGTCATCTGTTGATTTCATAGCTTGCTGCTAGTGATGTTCCTCCAAAACCATAATCTCCTCCCCGCAATAATGGCTACCCCCACCCCTCATATGAACACCGTTCCCCCCCCCCCCACGTCGTCGGTCCAATAGTGACAACACGATAACTGAAAGTAGGGTGAGTAGAACTCGTCGTTCTTACCTACAATTGAAACCCTGTAACCCAAACCTCCGAAAACATCATGTTGACGAGACACTGTCGTACTCCGACATGCGACACAAACCGACACCAAAGCTCAGAATGTTGCCATGTGCAGGGCAAGACGGGTGAAGAAGAGCTAGGAACTCAAGATGAGGCCCGGAGTTTCGGGATGTAGTAATGGAGCTTTCCTAAATTTGGGGTACCATTTTGGGGGTCCCCATAATAAGGACTATATTATTTTGAGGTCTATATTGGGTTCCCTTATTTTGGGAAACTACCTAATGGAGCTGCATGAGGCAGGGTTTTGATGACAGCTTTATTGCGGCTTTCTGTGAGTAGGGTCGTAAATGCAGGTCTTACATGCAGCATGTAGATGCAGGTCTTACATGTCAAGTAGGCAAAAGTCTGGAAGTGCGGAGGTGTCAGAATTTGGCTGCCACTTCGGGTGCCTGCAGATACATTTCGCAGGTTAAGCGCAACGACTTAGCAACAACATGGCTGTTCCATAAATATAGATACATGCCCTCTTCGTGGAAACAACTCGGGGCATAGAGGCATAGAGCATACCTTCCTGAATCTTCACATCGTGAGTAGGCATGACTAAGTTGATTGAATGTACTTCAGGGTGGTTATACCCCATTAACAGTAGTTTCCATTTTCTTTTCCATTAGCCCTATATAACCCCAATATATACCCTATTACTGTAGTAGTTTCCACTTTCTTTTCCATTACCCCAATATAACCTGGTTCGGGTGTTGGGTTGGAGTGGTTGCTGATTCGTGCTGTCATTTGCTGGTGCCTTCCAAGTTGCTCAAGCTTTGCACAGATGTCACTCCAGCGCAAAGTAGACAAACATGTAGTTCCGTATCTTGCAAGAGGTGCGAGGAAACAGGTACTGGCAACAGTGATGTTGTAACCGTACCATCGCTTGACCACTTGGCTGAGTGTAGTTTGACTGTTGCTTTTGCTGGTAGTGATGGCAGCAGTTTGCTGGCGAAGGGGGGTAGTCCCTATGCTCCGGACCTTAGAGATGAAACATCGAGGCCCTGGCAGTTTTCGTGCGATCAGTTGGGCTGATGCCATTGTGACCGCCAGTGCAGGCGCTCAAGGCATCAGTGCTGCACAGAGTGTGTGGGACAGGTACGAAACCGGTCATGCAAAAGCTGCCGCTCAGAACAAGTGCTTCCATGATTCAATCCCAAAAGTTGCAACAGTCAGGAGCTGAGAGAAACAAGGACGGCCAGGTGGCGAAATGCCAGGGCACGGAAACGAAAGGGGACAATACCCAAAAGCCCGATGCTGGCGCGCTCAGGATGCTTGAGCAGACATTCTTGCGAACTGGGAACAGCGTAGAGGAGGACATCTTGCGAACTCTCGACAATCCACCAGAGAAACGTAGGTTGGCCCGTGCTCTGGACATGGTTTATCACAACGTGCAGCAAGTCCGAGAGGCGGAAGTGACAGACGGCTGCTTTGATCAACAGGTTCTGCAACAAGGGCTCCACAAGTGGGCGGACTTGTTTGCAATGCTGGTCGAAAGATCACACATCAGCATTGAAGCGGGAAAGCTGAACACTTTGAAGGCCTTCACCCCACCTGGTGGGCAGCCAAGCACGTTGGACTTTCCTGTTGGTACTGTGTATGAAATAGTTGATCACGAGCTTGGGCCAATCCTGAAATATACAAGGACGCTTCGTGCCGACCCAGGAGAAGATGTGTGCATCTTGTTGTGGACTTTTAACTCCAAAGGAGAGCCGCCTGCAAATGTGACATCTGGTTGCAAGTATGTGATTAGCTGTGACGTGGACTCGAGCCCGCAGCCAGACCAGAGCCCAGCACCAGACGTGAAGGATGTCAAGGGGCAATCGCTGCTTGATTTTTTGGGATGGTTCTTGGTTGAGTTGGTTTCTTTATTTGTAGCTGGCCTTGTTTTGTGTTTCGCGATCTTCGTGATCTTCCATAGGTGAAGCTCCTTCGACCACATGCGAATTCTCTGTGGAAAGTCATACGCCCCATGCGCCTGCCCACTTCTTGCCTCGCTGTTGACAATTAGTTCCGGGTTACGGGAGTATGCATGTTGCTGTCTTGTCTTTGTGTCTGCGTACCTGCGAGATTGCATTGTAGTGGAACCCGCAAATTAGAAACGTTCGGCTTGATTCTACATTGCCTGAAGCAGTCCTGTTGATAAGAGTAGGGGGATTCCTTTGCAATCCTGTCTGGGAACTGTGTCGTGTTTGTTTCTCTGCTTTTTGCGCAACACCAGCGTCCCCACAGATACGCGCCCCAAATAGTACAGCCTTGCTTTAAAAAAAAAGGCTAACAAGGAAGCCGAGATAGCCAGGAATCCACACATGGCTTTGGCCCTATAGACTGTTTTTGGCCACAAGCAGCTGCACGCAGGCGGCGGTACAGACTGCCTCCTGCTTCTCTATGGGCCCAGGGCCCAGTGCTGGGATTGGGAGGAATCCCGTTGACTCACCGTTGCTTGAAAGGTTTGTTTTTGAGCGGGGCCCATGGTTTTGGACAGCCCACGGACTTGAGGTTCAAGGCTAGTGGTCGCCCGCGTTTTGCACTAAAGAGCTAGAGCATGAGCTTTGGCTACAGCGTTCTCTATCCGTACATCCTCGTAAAACTTTTCCACGCGCCTGCCGCCTCAGCTACTGCCCCTTTGCTGCTGCCCGTCCCGTGTCGGGAGTCTTCGATGATCTCTTCGCAAGTCGCTTCAAGGCATGAGGCTGATTCGTGAGTATTGCTTGCAAGGAAAGATTCTGATTCATGAGTTCTTGACAGAAAGACAGGCAACTCGACGATCAGGCTGGGATGTCCCCCTTGGTGCCCATGTTTGTTTCAGGGTTGTCTATTCTGATGCCTTACCTCCACCTTTGAATTCTGCTACCCAGGCTTGCAACCGTCACTGTCTGTACTTTAAATGTTGAATTCCGCATCCTACCAGTCAAATAGCCCAGGCTAAAACCTCGCCAGGGCCTCGATGCACCTGTCCTTTTAAGTCAGCCTTTCTTCAACCTTGCCCACGTTAAGCGCTTGAAGTACTATCCCCCCCCGCCCAAAGGTAGCCCCCCGGGTTTGGGAGCGAATAAGGACTATGTAGGGCGTAATAAGGCCTAATAGGGTTTCAAATCTGGGGGGGCCTTTGGGGGGTCTCCTGTTGTAACCCCTGACACGTAGACGGTGGCAGGCTTTGTGCCTGAGTAGGTTTGTTATTTTGGTGGCTCGGAGTGCAATATAGACTTGCTGTTCTACGAGATGGTAATACAAGGGTTTTGCACAATTCCACCTCATAGCCAGAACCGCAAACCCTAGATGAGGCTGTGAAAAGCTAACAAGTTATACTCTCTCAAGCCCTGCTCGGAGGGTCATGGGTAGTCAGTTACAGTTGGGGGCTGGACAAAGCCGAACAAAAATGTTTCACATCTGCTTTTAGATATACGTATACGATCCCCCCCCAAAAATCACAGGGAACTACCTATGAACCTCCAAGCCCACCTCCTGCACATCTTCACCCCATAAACACTGAATCACAAGAACTTCGGCACCCTAAACCCTATGCAAACCCTGAACCCCCAAATCCTCAACCCTCAATCCTCAATTTCAAACCTGAGGCCCTGAAGCCCTACAACTCAGGTACCGTGGCTCTGCCACTCGACCTCTCAGACCCACAGGGAGGCTCGGTGTCTCTCGGTGGCCCAGTGAAGGCCGGACAGGGAAGCCGAGTTTCGAGGTTCAGGGCTTTGGGCTGAGGATTTATGGCTCAAGGTTTTCGGACTTATGGCTCAAGGCTTCAGCGTTGATGGCTCAAGGTTGGGGGTCTATTGTTCAAGGTTTTAGGGTTTATGTCTCGAGGTTCTGGGGTTATGGCTCAATGTTTCGGGGCTTCCGGGTTTATAACTCCAGATGTAAGGTCAGGGAACTTTTTTTCGAATGTTCACCTAGACCTCTAAAACCTACCGCTTGTTTAGGGTACCTAGTTTTGTACATAGGAGATACGAGACATAAAGTTAGGTATCCACAACAGGGTAAACGCAAACCTTAAACCCTGAAACTGCTAGGAGCCTCGGGGGAGCCTTACAGGCAGCCTGCACCCTGCCTGCAGGAAACAAACATGAAACCCTGCTTATGAACTATAATCTAAACTTCCTAGAAGGGGTCTACATAGGGGGTATAATAGGGGTTACCACGGTGGATACTAGGAGTTTGGACTAATGGCTCAAGTATGCTTGCTTCAATAGGACAGTAGGCTTGAAAGTGCCCCTTTGCGGGTTCCATGTTGGCAAGGGGGGAGTGGACTTGGTGTTGTTGCTTGACTTATGCTTTTGTTTGCACCGGCTGTTGGTTCCTCCGACATCAAACCCCATACCGAAACAGCTGAATTCAAGGCCCAAATGCTCGGACCTCCGCGCAAAACCCTAGACACCTATCATGAAACCAAAGCGCCTATCCTCTAATTCGCGCAGAGATTTCCCTACACAAGTTTGTTCGTGTTTTCCATAGTTCGGTTGCCATGAAAAGTGTTCCTTTTTGTATGAGGTAGGTTTCAGAACAACACATGTAAGGCTTCTGAGGATTATGGGTGAGTGTAGATATGAGTGTCCTTGAGGGAGACCGTAGATACAGGCCATGGGTCCTACACATTGTAGCTGGGTGGCTTACCTTTAACCTCATGAGGCCTAATTATGTCATCTTCCTATGCTCAAAAGTTGAACCTTTTCAGGTCCAGGGAACCAACAATTCGGAACATGGTGCGAATACCCCCTAACGCTTAGTCCCTAAACCCTGTATATATCCCTAGCCTATAACGCCAAGCAATACTTGGTAATAGCAGTATTTCCAGCAAAAAAACGTAAGACTCGTGTTCATACAGCGTTAAGGTGGGTTTGAAAACCTATACTTACAAAATGTTCAAACAAGCAGCAGTGCTAACACTGATATTCAGAATGATGCGACTATTCCGTGTTCGTCAGGATGGCAGGCTTTTGATCCGAAGCAACGTCTTCCTGACGGACATGCACGACGGCCCCTTGACTTGAGTCGTCTGAGTGAGGTCAGATTTACAGGCCTAGGAAATAGGGAGGATATAAGGTGTCATTGTTTAGGGTTTATGGTACCTCAGTATAGGGTGTAGTTAGGATCTAGCCTATAGGTCTGAAAACTTGTGGTACGGGGTATAAGGTGTGTTGCTTAGGGGTTAGGATTTGGGGTTTAGAAGCTGTGAGTTAGAGCTTCAGTTAATGGTTCAGGGCGGGATTTCCGCGCTATGACAGGGGTTATGCTTATTACTGACGACTACTAGGGGGGTCCAGTCCTCTAGTACGGAGACCGGAAGTACCACCAGGAAAGGCTGCGTACATTGGGGCTCCGGGCTTAGGGTTTAGGATGTAGGGCTCCGGCTTTAGGATTCGGGGTATTTGATTAAAAGTTTGGGACTTTATGGTTTGGGGCTTGAGGTCTAGGATTCAGACGTCGAGAGTATGCTTCAGGGTTCTGCGGCTTTGCGAGGCCTGTCTCGAAAGCTCATTGAAGTTCCCCTCATCTGGGCCATAATCTATACTCCTAGTATCCTTGAATTCATCACGCAACAATCTTCAGGCATCGTGTCAAAAACAAACTCCTAGTATCCCCCTCAGTAGCCCCTATAGAACTCCCCTGTGTAATCAATCCCCTGTACCGTAAGCCCTTAAAACCTAAACCCTATATGAGCTATAGTCGAAACTCCTTAAAGGGTGTTATATAATGGATTCTATATGGGACTATTATAGGGGTTATCAAGGGGGATACTAGGAGTTTAGACTATGGCTCATATAACACCCTTGAGGGGTTTAGACGGAAGCAGCTTGCCAGGTGAAGAACAACCAAACTTGCTGACTTTCCCTTGGGCCTAAACCCTAAACCCCTTTTGAGCAGTATTTTACTTGGGGATACTATGGTACCCAATATAGAGTAAGATTCTATCCTCCTTTTGGGGTATAGTATTTTATGTAAGGAATAGAATCTCACTAGGTTTCAACCACAAAAACAACGGTACTCGTTTGGGAGTGGGTTCTCCAGAACCCACTCCCAAGCCTTACTGAGAAGAAAGGGCTGACTCTGCCCTGGGCCCCTTCAGGTCGTTTTGGGTTTAGGGTTTGCTTCAGTAAATCGAGTTTGGTGTCTAGTTAGTTCATATGCGTCAACAGACCTGCATGCGATGACCTTGATGCAGAATCAGGATTTAGGGCTCAGGGTTTAGGGTTTACGATTTGGGGTTTAGGGTTTAGGATTGAGTCTGTCTCATGTGGGCCGAGGTCGCAAGAAGGTCTTCTTGGTCACTAAGGACTTCGTGGTTTGCCTTACTTTCCATTTCCTAGGTACTCAGTAGTACCCTAGTCTCTGGGGATTTAGGGTTCAGGGTTCAGGGCCGAGTCTGCTATCTGCCGTGCTAGGAACCCCGCCAGCCTTAAACTATCCTACTGGATTTAGGGTTATAGGGGTTTAGGGTTTGAGCGGTATTAAGGCATGACTGAGAGGCCAAGTAAGATTAAGAAAAAATCCAAATAAAAAGGATGCCCAGAGAAGCCAGCATTCTTCCCTTGACCCTATTCTAGTCATTAACGCCTCTACGTTGCCTGTGAAGCTAGATAGACCCAGGTTCCCACTTCATTTTCCATAGGGCTCTATGGAGTACGTGAGCTCGGAGGATTGTGAAACCCAGCAAAAAAGAGCTGCAGCCCTAAACCCTAAGGCATGTGGGCTTGGCTAAAAACATAGGGCCTAGGGCTTGAGCTTTAAGGCTAGACTTTAGGATTGTAGTCAACATAAAGCGCTGCAACATACTAACATGGCCTGGGGTTTAGGAGTTTAGGGTTTCGGGCTTAAGGGATATGGGGTATAGGGTTAGGGGTTTAGGGGTTGAGGGTTTAGGGTGGGACCCCCGGAAGCCCTTCCTGATCCCCAGATCTGCCTTTGATCCCCAAGGCCCGCTATGTTGAGGAACCCTACACGCAAAACCCCGGTACGGCCTTATACATACATGTATGTCTAGGTGGCGTTGCAGCTTGTCTGGAGACCTCGACTGCACCATTGCCCAGCGCGTCGGGGAAAATCCCCAGGCCCGCTTTTCTCTTTCTTAGTGTGGTTGCTATTGCTGTTACCCGCGCGAGGACAGCCCCTGGCTGTCCTACTCGCGGGATCTGTCGAAAGCCCTCTGGTTTGCCGTGGCCAAGGTGCGTAGTGCGTTTCTGTGCATCCCTCTGATGAGCATTGGGGCATCGGGTCGTGCGCTAGAGGCCAAGGTGGGCGATCGCCGCGTCCTAGTCAGCGTGGCCCTCGCGGACGTCGCTTGGTGGACGCTCCGCGAGGCCTTTCTTCTGCTGATGCTCCTAGTTGCTGCGTTGCGCGGGTCTTATCTAGTTGAGAGGATGCCAGCCTGTCCTTGAGTGGCGACCGGCGCGAGCCGAGCCCGCAGCTTCTCCGCCGTGTCGGGCCCGTGTGTGTGTGTGTGTGTATATGTGAGTTTATGTTTTTAGATTGCCATGTAGATCTGCCACGATCTGTGGGGCGGTGTTGTTGCAGGCCCAGCGCTTTACGAGCTGGGCAGATGAAGTGCTACTCCTCAATTTGCCACGCTTCGTGCCGCGAGCCTTTCTGTGGCTGGTCGGTCGTGGCTGGCTGCTGCCTTGCGTAGGAGTTTGTGGTGACGAGGGAGGACCTGGAGTGGGCGCGGCGGGCTCGGCGCCACTGGCGACTGCCGTGGCCCGAGCACAGGCCAGAGCTCGATGTGCTCAAAGGCGGACCTCTTGCGCTTGTGGGGGGGCGGGGGGGGTTGTCCTGGCCTTGTGACTTTCTGTGACTGCAAGGGTCCTAGTACACGGCGACGCGATTGACGTGGAGGTCTTTGCTGCAATCAGGTGACTTGCGCTTTTGACGCTGTTTGTTGTGCCTGGCAGGTGGCGTCGTCCCTCTTCGGCAGCGCCGAGCGTCACCATGGAGCTACATTGCTGTAGCGGTTCAAAAAAGGGCTTGCTGGCCGCTTCTTGGTTGCTGCGTCCTTGTGTTGCGATTGTCTAAAGTCTAGTGTGATGTCTCGTTCACTAGGTCGGCGGCTGCGATTGTGGAGATGTATATGCTTGTGTGTAAAATACATGTATATGATGTACAATTGCTTTAACCTTAAAGACTCCTTAACAGAAATCATGTTCTTGCACAATCCCTTCCCCCTAAAATAACCGACGTCGCCCTGCTTCCCCCAAAAAATTAAGACGCCCGATGTATACATTACTCGGGGTTTTCATTGCAAAAGGACTATGGGGGAATAAATCAGAATCAGTTGAAATTGAAATTGGATTCTATTTGTAGTCGGTTAAAACCTAATGAAAATCGAGTTAAAATCAACTGAAATCGAATTCGAATCAAATCAAAATTTAGAGGAAGATCAGTTGAGGTCTATTTGAAATCTAATGAGAACCTAAAGAGATCCACTTCAAAGCCAACTATCAATCTAAATAGCACCTATTGAAATCGGAGTGAGATCGTAACAAAGCCAACTCAACATCCATTTATACACAAATTAAACTTAAACCTGATTACACTCGTAATGAGGACCAGTTCAAAGTTACGTAAAATCAGCTCAAAGAAAACTAACGTCGTAATCAGTTATGTGAACTCAAAGTACAATAAAATGAAACCCAATGAAGATCGTAATAGCATCAAGCAAGCCTAACATCAATCACTCAAAAGCAGCTGAAATCTAACTGAAGTCTCGATAAAATAAACTCAAGTAAGCTCTAATAAGAGTCTGATGTACACTCCAATTAACTATCAAGTGTAATCTCCAGCATATCATGAAAACAAACTGAAAACCCTGACAACATATATGAACATGGAATTATGATCAATCGACGTGTAATGAGTATCGCTTAACAATGGTTTCAGTTCCCGTTAGATGATACAGTATAATATATATATATATGCGAATACTACTGAACACAATATCTTACGAAACAATGAAAAAGCAAGGAAATTCAGGTTGTCCTTAATTCCTTTGGTACCTTACTATAACCCCCCTAGCGACATGCCTTCAGGATCCCCTTTTCAAAGAATCTTGACTCTGTTTAGAAACAGGGGGTTTAGGGTTCAGGGATTAGTCTTCAGGTGCTTCCTGGAATTGGGGATTCTCTGGGAAGACTACCTAGGGCCAGCGAGTAGCAACTCACTCAAACCGGCGTGCCAGCGGATGAGATGTGCCGTGCAAGACGCGTGGCTGTTGGCAAAGGTTTTTGCAACACCTAAAGCACCAAGCCTTGAAGCCTGTGTCCAGAAGCCTAGGTTGCAAAACGCCGTCTGTGTGGCAAGCAGACGGTCCCCTGGTCCCAACGTGATTCGAGCACTCTTCCTGATGGTGAACCCTGACATGACCGTGATCGGACTGGAGCGGGTCAAGATGACCCTCCGTCAATTTCGACAGCTGACAGGCTTGTTGGCAGAACATGTTTTGGCGGAGAAATGGCATCGCTGAAGCAATGCTTGAAGTATGGATTTACCAAGCTAAGATATTACCTTGCTACACATTAGGGACTATGGTATCCCCAAATACAACATGACTCGCGGGGAAATTTCTCGTTACGAGAGTCCTTCACGTTAGTTTGGGGACCCTTGACAGCGCCCAATGTTGCGGAGACTCTACAAATTTCCCTGAACCCTACACTCGAAATCCTCAACCCCAACCCCTAAGCTCCGTAGGCCTAAGGCCCAAAACGTCTGTAGCTGAGACACATTCTTTTCGGAGCACCGCTTCAGGACACCTTATAGACCCCCAAACAGAATAACCCTTATCGTAGGTTGCCGCAAGAGGGGACCCATCATCTTTGAGAAATCCTAATATGTTGGGTACAATGAGCAGAATCCTCAATTAAATTCTTCACCTTGCTAGGATAGGCCATCATGGTACGGGGCTCACAGGCTTTTAGGGGTTATGAGGGTTATCTGGGTTATGGGTTACAGTATCCCTAAACCTTCAACTCTCATACTCCCCAAGCCCTAAACACTAAACCCTCAACCCTACATGCTAGACCCTTAACCTGAGGATGCGTAATTTAGTGGATCCCTGGAATCACCTCAGATCATCCATGTATACCAGCCACTTTGACAGTGCCCATATGCCCTCCCTCCTTGAGCAACAGCAAAAAGCGTGAAGCCCTAAACCCAAAGACCCCGCCCTCCAGAGCCTCAAGCTGAAACCTTAAGATGGAAAAAGGTGCGAGCAGGTTTTTGCGTTGCTGGCTGAACCCTAAATCCGAACCCCAAGCGTAGATAAAGTAATAGCCCAAAACACCTAGAAATAGCCCAAAAGGCAATTATTCTACATACTTTGGGGGTTCAGGTAAGCCCTAAATCCCCAAACCTGGAATCCTACGAGCAAGCGGGTCAACCCGTCAACCTTGACCCAGCCTAAAGGTCCCAAAACGCTACACCGTGGGTTGCTGTTACGGAACTTAGATTCAGCTACCACACGGAGGGTTTAGGGCTTAAGGCTGTATATACAAATATGGATAGTTACATATATATGTACATATATGCCAATGATGTTTGCTTATACAACGCAAGTTCAGATTTCGTTCCTTACTCCCCCATCTAAGCGCTGTTTCCATTTGAACTTCCATGTTCTGCTTCATTTGATTCTCCACTATGTCCACCCTAACCCCCCTACATCCTTACAGATCCCCTTATGACCCCTATTAATCCCTAAACCCCGCACATTCGTGGAGCTCCTTACTAGCAACCCTAAGCCCTTAACTCTTTATGAACCCGATTTACGCCCTAAACCTTAAACCCTAAACCTTAAGCCCTGAACCTTAACCCCTAAACCCTAAGCCTAAACCCTGAACCCTAAACCCTAAACCGCTAAGCAATGGCAACTGGCAAGACCAGAGGAGCAGCCTCTGCAGTTGAAGTTGGGTGTGCTCCTGGGAGGGTGCCCCAGCCAGAAACGGTTGTGAAAAGGTTTAGGGCTTTGTACAAATTAGGGTCTAGGTTGTAAGCTTGATTAGGGTTTAGGGTTTTTGGGCTTAGGATTGATTAGGGCTTTTAGGGTTGATTAGGGCTTAGGCTTAGGGCCAGGCTTCGGCCTCAGGCTTGATACTTGGAGCTCAGAAGTAAACAAAAGGGTGGCCTACAACCCATAACAAGGCTGTTATTCTGCATACTGATGGGGCTCAGCTATTAAGGACCCCGTAACTATTGTATCATACCATAATTCACAAGGTGCAGGGTACTTAAGGTCATGCAGAACCGGTAGTGTCAGCTGTAGGGTTTCGGGTTACTGGGAGCTTCATCCCACATTTCATAGCAACCAATCCCAAGTTGGTCTTCATGTCAGGCTTTACGTAGGTATTGTTGAGCTGAAACCAGCTTCATGCTTGGAACCCCAGTTTCCTTTTGTACAGTCTCATTGCGCATGCTCCACACAAGACAGAAGTCTTAGACAAGCAGGTCCAAGTAATGTTGGGGGAAGGGGTAGTGCAATGCCTAGGGTGGAGTTGGGGAGGGAATGTGGATACTATCCCAGGGGTATAAATGGTGTCGTATAGGATTCATCATTGGGGTCCCTCCCTCCCTCTTTCTTCAACATCAGGAAGTCCCTAAACCCTAAACTTTAAACCTTAAATCCTAAACCCCCAGGCCCGAGACCCTAAACCCCAGTTGTAATGCAAAGGTTGAAAGGTTCTGAGAGTTTTGTTGCTGCAGGTTGGGGGGCCATCATATGAGCCATTATCTAAACTCCTAGTACGGGTTTAGGGTTTAGGGTCCTAGCATCCCCCTTAATAATGGAGAATCAAATGGAAAAGAAAATGGAAAATGAAATGGAAACTGGGATTATATAGGGGATTATGGTGGTTATAGTCTAAACTCCTAGTATCCCCCTTAATATCCCCTACAGTCGTCCCCTATATAATCCCCTATATAACCCCCTTCAAGGAGTTTAGACTATGGCTCATATGGCTGGCGTCCCCCTGCCCTGTAGGGTAGGTAGCACTCCTGTGGTCCCGGTTGTAGGGTGAAGGGTTTAGGGACCAGGGTCTAGGGAGAAGGGTTTAGGGTGTAGGGCTTAGGGATTAGGGTCTAGGGATTAGGGTGTAGGGTTTGAGGTGTAAGGATTAGGGTCTTGGGTTTAGGGTGTAGGGGATTAGGGTTTAGGGTGTAGGGGATTAGGGTTTAGGGTGTAGGGTTTAGGCTCGTGTGCGAATTATGTGGGCATCTCCCCTGGTAGTCGTTATACCGTTATGCTCCGGCTGCTACCGAACCTTTCACAGGTTGCGTCCTTAGCCTAATGGAAGGTTTGGTGCCACGACTTCTCAATGGGTTACGCTGCTACCTCCCCATACTACCCACTCTCTAGGTTCCCTTTGACTACTTCATTGGAGGGCTGCATGCTGTTCAGTGGCTTGGGGGCCAATGCAAAATGTTCGTCTGCATGATCATTTATTAGATATCCTAGACCCTCAACCTGCCATACTCCCTTAAGGCAATCCTCATATGTTTTGGGCGAGTCCTCTGGGGCTCTTTTTTGGAGAACACCCCGCGTGGTTGTGGCCTTGGTTGGGGTTCTGGGTAGGGCTTTAGGTTGCTACATGAACGATGTTTTCAACAAGGCCCGATTTATCCAGGGACCCTGAACCCGCTCCCCTACAGAGACTTTCCTACACTCCCCCAAACTAACATGGAAGCCCATGTAGACCCCCTTTAAAGGGACTGTGGTCTGTATAGGGCCATTTATGGGTTTCCATGTTAGTTTCCAGGAGTGTACCTCTATTTTTGGAGGTACTCGCGCTTTGCGCAGCAGGTGTCTTTCACAGCCACAGCCCCAGTTCCAGTTGTGGTACCTTTGCCATCATTAATTGATCGTTTCGAGTCCTGAGTTGGGGGCTGGAGGTACTAAAAGCCTTTCATAGCACCTTCTATCATGCAAGCGCTTCATGCCGACAGGGTCGCCCTAAACTATGTCCAACACCCTAATTATGCCGTAGCCCGGGACTCCGGTTGAATTGCTTGGCCCTGAGAATTGCGGCTCTGAAAAAAGTTGGAGCTTACTACGAAGGTTTGCGGGAGCGAATATGTTTATTTGTGAGGGTCCTCTGGACGACCGTTTTAGAGTAGGAGCAGTAGCCATCGAACATTGATGAGTGTGTATGTCTGTGGTGTCCATTTGGCAAGACCACAAATGAAAATCATGGGTCTGATAGAATGCAGAAAATGAGGGATTATTGTAGGGGTCTGAAAACGACCAACATGATGGTCCTGGTTCCCTCCTAAAGCCTAGACCCTGAACACTACACCCTCACACGCTTCAAATGGATCTCAACATGACATCGGAAGATTTAAGCTAATTCTCTATAAGCCCCTGCAGACTTCCAGTTTGTACTTCTCCGTCTTCTTTTCCATTTGATTTTCCATGCTTGAGATGACATATCTCTGTGTAAACTTACAAAACTTCCCATATGTCTGTAAATATATACATATATACACATTGTATATCCCTTAGATTTATTTAGACCCGCAAATTAAGGTCACCGATGTGGCTGGCAATGCGCCTGTCACCCAGGTGGGAGCCAGGGTGTTGTTTAGGGGGGCGTAGGGTATGAGAATAGGATTTAGGGTCTAGGATGTTCTAGACGAACCAATGTAACCAGTCAAAGGGTTTTTTTTACGCAATGATTTGGGATCTCCACCTTTTCTTATGGGTCTAGGTTACTCTAGGTCGGGTTTATGAAGGGTTGACGGATTGGTTTTGGGGGTTGAGAGCCACCTTGGAGAGCCCAGGCGGGTTTTAAATTAAGGGTTGGCGGCTTTCGCATTTTGAGGTTTCGATTTTGAGTTTACAAGCCCTAAACCCTAAACCCTATGCAGATCCCCCTTGAAGGTAATGACACGAAAAACATGGAATTCCACATGCGTTCCTACGCATGCTGGTGCTCTTGGGAAAAAGGGTTTATTTGAAGATTCCCCATAGTTGTTGCAAGTAGGAAGTAGGTTACTTAATCCTGCAGTAATCGTGGTTGAGTCGTAAGCCTAATTGTGCTTTCATCCCAGTTGGAATTTCCCTACAGGTAGCCTTCGCACCCAGTGTTCAGCAATTGGATCATGTTTTCGGCCTTCAGGGTTCACCAGGCGCAGAAATGAAAGGCTTTAGGGATTCGGGATTAGGGTGGCAGATTTGTTGGTTTCGGGTGCCAGAAGGTGAGGCGCAGGAGTTAGAAGGTTGACGGTTGAGGGTGCAACATCTAAACTTTCTCACAGGGTCGAGGGCCCTAAATGAATGTGGCGAATGTTTTGATAACCCCGAGTAGACAGCGGAATCTACCAGATACCTACTTTACCGTACATACCTGACTGGTCCTTTGACCGGGCATCCTAAAAATCTTGGCCAACGTCTGAGCTTTTTGGTATCGGAGGTCTGTATTGTCGCTGCAACGTCTAGTAACTAACTAATAGTTTCCGTTTTCTTTTCCATTACCCCATTAACTCCAATATACTATAGTAGTTTCCATTCTCTTTTTCCATTATTATTAGTAACCATGACTACCTACTCGTACATGATAACTCCCCTCCTGTAGTTGTCTGTTGCTTGGAGTTGCATGGTATCAAAGGCTTCGGTTCGTATTTCAGCGGCTCTGTACAATCCTCACCCTAGACCCTGAAGCGCGTGGCTGTGTGGGTGTAGACATCTACAGCCCCCATTAATATCCATCGGGCGCCTCTGCCTCGAAGAGAAAAGGGGTGGGGGTCCGGGTCCCAAAATTGGGTTGCTGTTAAGGAACTTGAATCAAACTACTATAATAAGGATCCCCTGTGATTTACTACCTACCCGTATTATGGTGACTTAAATTAAGTTCCTTATCAGCAACCCAGAAAAGGGTTGCTAAAGGTGTCCTGGGAATGTTCTTTGTTTTTTTGCCTGAACATCTGATGGTTCAGGGTTTGAGAAGCCTCCAGAAGATCCTGCCCGAACATGTCTGCATGGCGCGCAAAACTATCAGCAAAAGTCCCCTAGCCCCATTTTCAGACCGGCCCTACATGCACCAAAGCTGATTGCATCCGGAGGTTCCAAGCATCCAATATTGATTAGTGGCTCGGAATGATTTAGGGTACCAGAAACCATGAAGACAAAGTATGTGGTAGCTAAGGCAATGCATGTGAGCGCTTCCACCGCGGAGTCTTGTCAAATGGGACATTAGTACAACCGAATTTGAGGATCCTTCGTACAGGGACCCCCCATGAAGGTACCTGCTTGTTCGAAAACCTAAACCCCCTCTCATCCCTGAACAGCCGCTCTGTACCTCCTAGATTACGCCGCTATCCGTGCACCAAAACCCTAAACTCGAACACCTTCGGCAGGTACACCTGAAGCCCTAAGCCCAAAACCCTAAACCCCAAACCTGAAGCCTAAATCCCTAAACCTCTACCCCTAAGCCCTAAGCCTCAGACCCCAAACCCTAAGCCCTACACTCTCTTCCCTAGGCCTAGACCCAAACCTGAAATCCTAGATCCCTAGACCCTAAACCCAAATCCCTAGATTCTATAATCCTAAACCCTAAATTCCCTAAACCCTAAACCCTATACTGTTATTCCTATGCCCTAAACACAGCTCGCAGACAGAGAGCTGGACACTGGAGGATGGCTGGGAGAGGGCACTTCCGCCATAAGTTGCTTTCATGGCTCCCATGTGGATGAGTAGTATCTCTATTTGAGGGTTTCAGGATTTAGGGCTAAGGGTTTAGGATTCGGGATTTAGGGCTCAGGATTTAAGATTTAGGGATTAGCACTTAGGGTTTATAGGGCTTAGGATTTAGGATTTAGGGTTTAGGGATCAAGGTGCATGGGGCTTAGGAATTGAGAGTCGAATGGAAAATTAGTTCATGGACAATGTAATCGATACCGGGATTATGTATTCCGAGGGGTCATGTCCATTTTTGTTGGGTAAGCTCTATTCCCCGGCAGAGTAAGATGATACTGTCTTTTTGGTTATATGGTATTTTTTAGGGGACGAGCATTTTACTTGGTTTAGTCACATGAAAATGCTTATTCACCTGGGGGTTACCAAATACATCCTAAACCCTAAACCCGCACTCCCTTCTCAGGAGGCATCATCGCAACGACTTTTGGGCTCCCGTACTGACTATTTTTGAGGTACGTAAAGGGTTTAGGGTTTAGGGTGTTTTGAAGGCAAAAGGGCCAGAGTGGCATTTGAGGAAGTCATCCCATTGACTCCCATCTAGAGCAAGATCATAATCTCCATTCAGTTGCCGTGCTTCTTAGGTAGAACAGAATCTTGCTTGGTGCAACTAGCATAGGAACTGACCTCGAATCCCTGTGGAATGAATTTGGCAGGAAAATCTAAGGCAATAAAAATGAAACGCCTGAGACCCACCCCTAAACCCTAGACCCTACAACCCTAAACAACCTTCAAACAACCGTAAACCCTAAACCCTAGACCCAACTACATCCCTGGCTGCCAGATCTACAAGTTGAAGCCGCAGTCGCAGGACTGTCGATTCAGTTCTTTGCTGCGAAGCCTAAGTTTCGGTTTCTGCTACGGATCCTAGAGGGTTTGGGTTTGAGGATTCGAGGCTTGGAGGGTTTAGGGTGTAAGGGTCTAGGGTTGAAGGGTGTGCGGTTTCAGGATGTAGGGTAAAATTAAGAGTTTAAGTCAGGGATGGGGCTAAGGATAACATCTTGTCCAATATCTGCACAAGCTGGGTTCCAGCTAGTTTCCTAGCAGTGCTCCCGGGTAGGACACCCTAGTTCCCATTGGGGATCCTGTGTCTTCAATGGCTCTCAAAAAGCAACCCAGCTTGATTGGGATTAGATCAAAATACATAGGGCCACTATGCGGTTAGCACTCTCATGGATGAGCTCCCTAAGGTTCGCAAACTAATGTAGGAATCGAATCACCTGGCGTGGAGCATGTTTCTTCCATCAAAAGCAGGATTGATGAGGGTCGGGAGGAATTTGGGATCAGTCTAGTGTTGTGATTGCTGATTCTAATCTGACATGGTAGCCTAGTACGGACTACTGGCTACCCCACCTCCTTCATAGCAAGCTTTCACTGTGTAGAACTTTTGAGGCTCCTTTTTCAACAAGAGACAACGTGTCAGTGTGGAAGAAAATCAAAATCAAGCCTAGGCTCTAAGCCCCATATATCTACGTACCCCCAATGTACCCCTATATAATCATACGATCCCAGATAACCCTAGGCCCTAAACCCGTAACCCGAAACCCCAAAACACCAACCCGTGAGTACTGGCTGACCTGGCATCATGCGCATCGTGAGAGGACTGAGTTGTCACCTTAGCTTCGTATTTTTTGGGGGTTTCGGGTCTTTGGGAGGTTGAACTTTAGGGTTTAGGGTTTAGGGTTCAGGGTTTAGGGTTCAGGTCTTTGGGAGGTTGAACTTTAGGGTTTAGGGTTCAGGGTTTAGGGTTTGGTGAGGTTGAACTTTAGGGTTTAAGGTTTAGGGTTTTGGGAGGTTGGGGGGTTGGAATTGTGGGGTTTTAATGTTCACGGTTTGAGGTTTTGTGTAGGCTTATGGATGTAGGGTTTACGGATTCTGTGCTTGAAGGTTCATGGGCTCAATTACACCAGCTACGGATGCATTTTAGTTACCCTACTCATCACATTCGTGCGTCTGAGCGTTGGACTGTGGAATTTGTAGGCAATGAATTGGGACTCTTTGCGTCCGGGTCTTTGAACCATGTTTCGACTTCTTGCCTACCAGAATTAGAGCTAGCAGCTTCAGCTGTGATATTACTATAAGGTTCCAGGAAGTGTACTTGGATGTAGCTCTTCATACAAAGTGTTATCATCCTTCCTTTACCCCATCTAGGGACCCTTCAGGAGTTAGAAGTAGAACAACCCTAAACCCAAAGCCTTAAACCCTAAACCCTAAAGCCTTAATCCATAAACCCTGAATCACTGGGTCCACTGGACCTCCAAGTAGGCATGATGGAGGGTTGGGTTTCAGAATTTCAGGTATCCAGAGTAAGGATACCCTCTAGGGCCCTAACCATGGGCCCCTACCTGTTCCTGAGTCCTAACTACGGGCGCTAAATTGGAGTTGCAAAGGGTATAGAAAAGGTATATAAGAATCCCAATGTCGAGGGCCCATACCAGGGGACCACATGTTGCCCTCGTCTGAGCAACCACCCATATAGGGTTTGGGGCTTAGGATTTAGGGAATGGGTTCTAAGCTGGTGTTGGGACGGCCAAAGCTTCCCAGCTCCCTATCTTTTGAAAGGATGAACGTGAGACCCTATTCAAAATTACATTATTTATTTGGGTGCGGAAGGCAGCGACATCCGCAAGGGACACGTGCATTCTGGACACCTCTAAGAAGCCCAATCCTGACGATCTTCAAAACGCCAAAGTCAAGGAGTTAAACCCTTATCCCTAAGCCTTTAACTCAGATCTTTAAGCCCCAAACCCGCATCCCGAGATTGCAAGGCCGGAACTCTGACTGCCCAGGTCAGCCTGCCTCCACTTTGGCCTGATGCTCCAGATCCACCCAACCACGGACTTGTCCAGGACAAGAACTAGGGTTTAGGGTTTAGGGTTTAGGGGATTTAGGGCTTAAGGTTTAGGATTCAAAGGTTTAGGGTTTAAGGTTTGGGGAACTAGGGATGTAGGGTTTTGGGCATGCAGCGTTTGGGCAGTTAGGGTTCAAGGTTTGAAAGTCAGGGCTTGGAATCTAGGACCCTAAGGGTCCAAGTACCTAATAATCATATACTTACCCAAAACCTATACTATAATTACTATTACCCAAAACCCAAGTACCTCATTATTGGGTACCTGGACCCTCTAGGGGAAGGTTTCGCGGACTGAGGGTCGAGGGTTCAGGGCATTTGGTGTTGGCGGGCTTGGAAAATGCAGGTTTGTTAGGGTTTAGGGTTTAGGGTTTTAGGCCGTAGTTAAACTTGAATGTTCAGTGAACTTAGATCTTGCGGGACAGGGTGTCATAGGGTTTCCGTAATGTAGGGCTTGAGGGATTTCAGGGTCATGGTTCAGGGAATTTACAGCTTTAGGATTTCCACATTCGGGCTGGAGCGGTGTTGGGCATGTTGGTACCCAAGGATGGCCTCAGTGCTTCAGTCCCTTCAGCTTGGGTCTCAAGTATTAGGCAGTGGTGTTAAGGGTTCTTCAGCGACGAGTGACCTGCAAGAAGATCAGCTGAAGCATGAAGATATGAGGAAGCCGAGGTCTAGAAAGCTCGCAAGAAAAAAGTGACCTTTGAAGAAGAGGTTGGAGGCGGAGCCATCTGTGTTGTCAAGTTTTCTCAATCGTATTGGGCTCTCTGAGTGATTGCTGTTTCAGGCTGGACTTAGAAGGCGCAAACCTTGCATGGGCCTTATTGCTTGTTAGCTTTGTGCTCTCAATCTTGTTGTTGTTCTGGCCAGTGGGCTGAGGCTTGTGGTAAGAGATGTTTCTCGAAAATGACAGGCATTGTTAAAACTAAACGCGGTCCGGACTAATCCCCAGACCTGCTGGTGATCCCTGTAGTCGGCTGTTGACTTTGTTAGCCTACGGAAGCCTACACTAGAGACAAGTTCGTCGCCATGCACCAGGGTTCATTCATGAAAGACATGCTTTGACGCCTCCCAGTGTACATTACCCAGCAGCGGAAAGGTTTTGAAGAAGAAGATGGTCAGCTTCTCTTTGATGACAATGTGCTCGGCTTCATCGCTTCTATGAAGCAGCGGGTTCAAACTTGGAATCGAACTCATGATCCTTGAGCTTTGGGATGCCAATCCAAGTACTCCACCGCTTTCTGATGTCAAAGTTCGCAAGCCACACTCTTCAAACCAACAAACCGTGTTAAGATGTGCGGGGCTACGACGCTAAGCTCTGCAAGCTTTTCCCTTGTTTCTTCCGAGCAGTGTTTGGTTATGTTGCTTTTTTGCGGGTGATGGTCACAGTGTTCGCTGGACCTGTTTGATGCTAAGCCCACAAACAAAACATTGGCAAGTTTAGTTTTGAAACTTATGCACGTGTGCCTCCCAATAGAGAGTCTGGGCGGCGCTTTGTTGGTTCCACCGCGCCTAACTTTGCCGGCGGAGGTCAGCATACCTACTCCCCAAGCCTGCGGGACATCTAACAGGCCACTGGTTTCACGGCAACGGCTCTAGCCCGCTGGCATGTCAGATGATCACATCAGCACAAAGTCTGCAGCTGGTTGTTCAGGTAGCACTCTTGGCAATGCTCGTTTGGTATTTTCGGCTTCAAGCTTTGACATTTGTGCAGGAGTTTTGTGGAATCTTGTAGTGCAAGCGCCACCGCCATGCTGCACCTCTCAAACGGTCCGGCCATCGCGTCGTGCCAGGAAGTGGCTCCTTGGTGGCAGCTAAGTGATACCTGCAACCAAGTGTAGGTGTGTCTGGGACCCCTGCAGCAGGATGACCCTCCTATGCTAGGAGCTGCTAGGAGGGGGCGTCGCCTGCGACTAACCTGATGTCCTGCATGTGCGACAGGTGTGCAGCTACGCACTCATAAATGGCTTTCGACCCGATGGTCGCTTTCTCCTGGGCGCCATGGCGATTGCCTCTTGAATCTGTGAGTTCAACCTTCCCGTGTTCACTTGTGGCTGTAATGATGGCAATAGTGAGTGGCATTGTATAGTCGTCTACGGTGAACGGCATTGAATCATTGGGATCATGATTCTTCACATACCGCCACCGCCCCCACGCCGCTGCCAACACCCATATTCTATCTACTTAAGGGTGACGATACAGGGTGTAGGGTTGATGACTGAAAAAAATCAGTGTTTGGGGCTTGGAGATCTTGGGTTCGGGGCTTGCGGAATTAGGGCTGTGTGCTCGGGGTCAACCGTGCGGCCCATCTTTTTTGGGTGGGGATCCTTGTAGCAAGGGATCTCTTTTTTTGGAACGCGGGGGTAAATGCGGAAGGTCCCCGGCGCCTTTTCTCTCTTGCTTTTCCTTCCAAACAATGACCTTGGTGTTTAAAGCCGGCTTCTTTCCCAAAGGACAGTGCTTGGAAGGCTAGGGGGCTTAGAGGAAGTAGGTGAATAATGAGGGCCACTGGTGTGGTGATATGGCTTATCGGGTTGCAAGCACATTTATAAGGCTCCCTCCAAAGCTTACGGGCAGGCCTACAAGCAAATTCGCAAAGTCGAGACCCACCCGACGCCCGATTCAAGGAGCTGCGTTCTTCTTCCTCGGGATCTTGGATAGCGGATAGCGACAGAGGACACCGGACCGCATGAGCACACCGGCCCAAGGCGGTCGTAAAGCTTTTGGTGCGCAGCGGGCTACGCTGCAGGCACTTTGTCCATATTTGGCGATGCATCACCTGTACCCAAAAGTCCCGAAGGGTCCCCCTGACCTTCCTAGTACTGCTTGCGGAGCCTGGCCCTTAAACCCTAACCTAAACCTTGCGCTTTGGGTCATGCCCGCAATTTATGGCAGCAACTGCAGTGCCCAGTTTGGTCTTATGCGAGCCCTACTTGGGGGTTCATGGGGCCTAGTAACTGCTGTCTTCACCCTACTAATTCCGTGTGGGTGGTGTATAAGCAGGCTTATCAGCCCAGCTGTAAGTACCAGAACCCGAAAGGTATGTATAACAATGGCTTGCTTGCTTTCTGAGGTGCTGCGGCCATTATTTTACCTATTCCTGACGCCTTTTAAACCTAAATGCTAAACCGTGCCGCAAAGTCCCGTAGACCCCCAAGCCCTAGGGATCCAAATAGCCCAATGTAGGTAATATTTACAGACGTTGGGGCCCAATGTAGGTATTATTTGTATACTTGGATCCCTAGGGAAGTAGGGGTTTGAGTCCCGCAACTGTTCCGTAGGATGATGTCCTGCACAAGCAGTGGCTCGAGACCTGAGGAGCAGGGCCTTGAGTTGCAGGGATATTGGTTTAGGGTTCAGGGTT